CAGAAGCTCTCGATGCTTATTCGGCTGAGCTCAACCGGTTGATGTCAGCGTCGGAGGTAGAAAGCAAAATGCCTCGGAAGAGAAAGCGTCAAGTAGAGATAAACCGTGAGCGCTTGGAGGGACCAAATGCTCTGGAGGTCAAATGGCTTCCGCCTGGCTCAATGAAAGAGATATACCAACAGTTTCTAGTGGTGTCTGAAATGGATCCTCCTCCAAGCTTTCCTACGTTCTGGAGAGCGCCTTGCCAACTGAACAACGTTTTGATGTTCCCCTTACAAGTGCATGGTCATCAATTTTAAATATACATGTCCCAATTTCAGATCATGGATGATTGAGGTGTGGCTATCGGAATTTCCGATGCTACGCTTCCGGCAGGCAAGCCAACACGCCACCTGCAGTGTATGCGTCAGACACCGCGTCATGGTGAAAGCTTTGGGATCCCACATGCGAGCCAGGACCGAGCAGATTAGGTTATTCCATGAGCATCTCCGTGCACAGTATATGGACCGATGCCTGTACTATCAGCGCAAAAGCTGGAGCAGAATGAAAGGTTCTGCCGTCTGCGTCATAGCAGACGGCATGGACCAGACCAAATTTTCGCTTCCTCGTTCTGCGGTCCTTCAAGGCAAAGAGTTTTCCATCATGCAAAAAGTGAAGTTGCACATCGCTCTGGCTATCTGCCACGGCAGATTCATTCTGTTCAGCATCAGCAATGCAGATTGCAAGAAGGACCCCAACGCATCCATCGAGCTTTTAAGCCACTGTCTAACCCTGCTCCAAAGGCAAGGCCAAGATCTGCCAACCACAGATCTATACCTCCAACACGACAACTGCTGTCGTGAATTTAAGAATAACAGCGGTCTTCGCTGGGCGGCGTCCCAGGTCAGTGGAGCGAACCTGCGTTCAATATGCTGCTCATATTTGAGAACGGGACACACCCATGAAGATGTGGATCAGATATTCGGCACTTTGTCGAAATTTATGCTCAAACAAAGAAAGCTTCAAACCCCAGGAGATGTTCAAGCGATGATCGAAGCGTTCCTCAAAGACGCCAAGCTGCCGTTTGAGTGCGAGCGACATTGCGTCGTGATGAATGACGTGCGGGATTGGAGCCTTGCTCACACAGAAGTTAACAGTGTTTTGTGGGGGGTGGGAGGGCGCAAGTGTTTGTGTGGCGCATTCGGGCACCGTTCGTTTCTTGATGACTGAAAGTGGATCTGAGGGTTGGGTTCTACGCGAACAGCGTGCCTTTCCATCTGCATGGTGTGGGCGGCAGTGGTGCGCCGCACGAGTTCTTGTTTTCTCGGCGTAGAGATCTTGGTGCTTTGGACGCACAAGTGTTGGAGACCGTACTATACTTACAGGAAACTTCAGTGCAATGTCATGTTCATTGCTTTTCAAGGATTGCGGTCCAACGAGATTTCGAACCAACTATGGAGTCACGTTGCTGAGCACCCTGACGATGTGGTGCTCAGGTCCGGTTTATGCGATGTTGGTTTGTCGGTCACCCTTTTTGGGGGTTTGTGAGGTTCGGTCACACTTTGCCTTGCAGCGCCCCACAATAAGGAGCCCCCAATAATAGTGGACACATAAAACCAATTCCTTTTTCCAAAACCCGCAGGACCAAACGCTTCATGACCTCGAGCAACTACACTTTCACGACGTGCGTGTACCCAAAAGAGATGGCTCTTCAACTCCTTCCCTTGGGCCTACCGGCAGGCCTGATAATTGAAACAATATGTCTGGACGGTCGGACATCCAGTCTTTCATCCATGGGTCACGGAGAGGTTCTAAATTTTTCTTTACTTTGGGTTCCCTGCAGCCCTTGCGGAGAAGCGGGAGATTTCCGAAGAGTTCAAGAAGCATATCAGGGGGTTTCTGCCCAGTCTCCGCTTTCCTCTTTTTGATCTTGCTGAAGCAGCAGATTGGCTGGAATCTTGGATCGATGGGTCCTTGCCTGGGGATCCGCTGCTGGATGTGAGTGCGTGCCCTGGTGGATTGAGACTCTTGTGTCATAGTTAAATGAAGTTTTAGGGCTCGCGGTGTTAGAATTCTCACATCATGCAATTTGGACTCAGGTGTGCGATTCAGACTGGGCCGCGGCCGCTTTCGGCAAGTGCTTTGGTGATGCCGCAGCCAGAGGCTTTCCACACGCCAGCAAACCCATTGAAGAGTCTAGATTGTCATTGCGGTATCTTTTACTTTTTACGCTGCAGCAAGTCTATTTTATGCTTGGGTTCGTTTGACACTCACGCCAAGGCTTGTGAGAGGTAAAAACCAGAAGGAAGGTCGGCTGTATTTGATCCGGGCCAAGCGCAAAATCGTCTATGACGCAGCCGCGCGAGCGTGGAGCTTGGGAGTTCCATGGGCAGAAGCTCTGAAGATGAGTCAAAGGGCAGTGAGGGCAGGCAACGCTGTGGAGCCAAAGCCTTTTGCTAAAGGCAGAGGCAAGGGCAAAGCCAAGGGTCGAGGCAAAGGGAAGGCGAGGTGATGGTTTGAAGACCGAACGCACGTGTTTTTCAAAGGCCTTTCACGGCTTTCCAACAGCTTCGGCCTATACTGACAGGGTGCAGATGGGATACCTGACCTAAGGCTAAGCCTTGTGTCGCCAAAAAATGAAGGCGCTGAATTGATTTGTCGGTATCTAATGAACCCTAAATGTTCGGGGTCCTAAACCCTAAACGTTCGGGATCCTAAACCCTAAACGTTGTGGCACTCCTGCCATTTTGGCGGCGGCAGCGTAGTTTAAGGGGCCCCCTCTTGCAAGATAGGTTTTTGGTCTCAAATCATTGATCTTTAGGAGGGTGTGCAGCTGAGACTGATCACACCTGGGATCAGTCTCCAAACCAGGCTCTTTTTCTTGGTTTGTATTCAATTTGGGGATTGAATATTATTGCATGACTGTGTGGCCCCATGCATTTGAGACCGATCAGACCTGCAATCGGTCTCAAATGACCCCTCTCGGTAAAGTTGTCGATTTGAGACGGATCAGACCTAGGATCAGTCTCAAATCAAACTTCTGGGTAGAGTTGTGGATTTGAGACGGATCGGACCTACGATCAGTCTCAAATCAAACTTTTGGGTAGAGTTGTGGATTTGAGACGGATCAGACCTACGATCAGTCTCAAATGACCATGCTCAGTCAAGTTAGCTATGGGTTTGAGACGGATTTTCATTATAGATGGATTTTGTTTGATCGGGTTCATTCCTGCTCCTAGGGTCAAGCAATGAATTTGAGACTGATCGTAGGTGTGATCCGTCTCAAATCAAATCCGTCTCAAGTCAAATCCGTCTCAAATCCATTGGGTCTCCAACTACGTAATACGTCCTATACCATCTGAGGGATGCTAACATGAGCCACCACTACAGACTCAATCAGAGATGTGTGATTTGGCGGTAGGGCGCAAGAATGTGTTTCGGCGATCTTTGCGTGCGCGCGCGCGTTCAGAATCTCCTGGGGAGAAACACACGCAAAATTACTTCGTTCCAGGAATGGACATTTCATTCAGTGCTATTGCTTGGACTTCCCCAAGCTGAGCGGAAACCCGCTGAAGGATGCCAAAGAATGTCACAAAATTTTGGATTTTTTTTGGGCCGGGCCTACCCTTAGAATCTTTGTGTGGGTTTGGTTGGTTTCCTAACCAGCTCTGAAGGAACTCAATGAAGGAACTAGTGTGCAAGAGATTGCCGTTGTTTTGCCCGCTTTTGATTCAGTGGGTTCAATTCGCTGCAGGTTCACTGAACCCTTTGAAGCCAAAACTGTGGAGAGTGTTACAAAGGCCACGCAATCTCGCAAAGGCTCAGGAGTGTTCGGGCATTCGCACCGTGCTTCCATGGCCAAGCGCAAATCGGGCGGAAGTGACCAGAATGCCAGCGCGAAGGCCCGGCGGAGCAGCAACCAGAAGGCTGCAGATTTGCAGGCTTCTCATCCGCACATCGCGAAGGTGATTGCTTGGCTGCTTGGAACTGGGACAAGATTCTTTAAAACGACAATGATTGTATTGCCACTTGATTACCTGGACCACATTGGGGAAACCAAATACTTGTCCCATTGCCTTTGCAAACGCCAAACAAGCTTTAAGAAACACTGTGCTGACACCAAGGATACTCAACGTCGGTAAAACTTTGGGGCCCGAACCTTTTGATTGAGGTATGATGAGCACGTGGTGCCTTGCGGAGGCCCAGACCAGTACCTGGCTAAAATGTATCAGACCCAGGAGAGTTTTGTCAGCGCAAAGGCGATCGAGTCGTTGTTGATAGTAGACAGGCATGGATGGCCTGATGAAGTTGGTGCTGTAACAATAGATATCTCCGCAAAGAACCCATGCATTTGGCAGGATCAGCTGCTCGAGTTCGCCAGGTGGGTGGACGACTTTTGCCCATCAAACCCAGAGTTACCCGCCAAAATACAAGACTAAAATCGCTATGGGTTTTCATGCGCAGTGAACTGTTGTTCCAATGTGCACGGTCGATTTTTCAATGGAGCTTGGAGACATTTGAGGCTGAGCTATGCGACTGACTACTCCTCAGGACAGTACCTGAGACCCTGGATGTGTGCTTTCCGGCACGATACAGGTTGCAGTGGCTTCCTGGAGCCCGAGGTTGGGCAGCTCATCATGGAAGTTATGCTGTGCGAGGGGTAACTCGCCATGATGATGATGATGGACTGGGTGACGGTTCAAGTGTGTACCTTTCGCAGTGCGACTCTTTAATTTTAATATAGTATTCAGATTGCAGTCAGTCTTCTGCAAGGTTCATGTCTGACCCATCGCTGCCCGGGTGTGAGCTGGTGCATACCACCAAGATTCCTCGTGAGTACCTGGATTCGGAGTACCCAGTGTTGCCATCGGCCATAGGAGGCCGGCTAGTGTTTGAGAAGCCGTTCAGAACACTTTGCTCTGCCCGTATGAATCTTTAGTTTTTTCCATGCCTACTGGCGTTTTCTATCATTTCGCAGTGAGAACGTATGTCCATACACAGCAGCAACGCAATGTACGGCAATGAAGATTTCTTTGCCAGGCGGCCACTTACTGCCGCCGTTTTCAGTCGGCTATGTGAAGGGCTGGAAGCGTTGCGTGGTACTCCTCATCGTGCTTCAGTCGATCCGGGAACTCAATCTACAAGATGAGATTGCGCATGAAATCAAGGTCACACTGCGCAGTGGAATATGTTGCTGCTTTCCCCTCGCGCACTTAGCTGTTTGGTCCCCTTTAGAATTTTTATCGAATGCGCCAGGCGACATTTGGAACCATTCACTGTTCCTTCGCCAAGACCAACGACGTGCGCGCAAAAGTTGAAGCCAGCCGAGGCGCCGGGCAAACATTTCTAATTATCCACCTGGCTATGGCCATGAAATCTGACCCCCACAAGTCCTATACCCTAACCCCGACTAGTGGAGGAAGCAAACAGGACTTGTGGGGGTCAGATTCCATACCCAATCCAAGTGGAAACTCGGCAGCAAAGATTCTGTCGCAACTGGTTTTTATAAATATCAACCCATACTTGATTGAGGAAGACTACCCTGCAGACTATGCAAATCAACTTGTGAAGATCCTTTTCTGGGGAAGAACTGTGATGGCCGGAACGTTTTAAGATGGCTTCGATTTGGACAGGCGCTACCATGGTCCAATCTGCGACCCGCAAAGCTCCGAATTGTTTCCAGTTCCGCAGACAAGTGCTTATCTTACAGCGGGCCGGATGTGGTAGTTCGCCTGAGCAACAGTTCGAGACCTGGCACAAGGCTACATCGGTAGCCAAGGTCTTTGCCATTGGCCGCCTTGAAAGTGAAAGTGTTTCCAATTTGATGACGCGCATGGAGGAGAAGGTTGTCCATTTGCTGGAGAGCGCTGTCAAACGACGTGGTATGATCAAATTCATATCGCACGATTTCATTGCGCGTGGAACTTGCAACACTGCTTGGAGCAGCGGTTGCAACCAATTGGAACATTGGTCGGAGCAGTTGACCAATGGAAACGATGGAGCGTTGGCCACCCAGTAGCAAAAGGAATATCGTGCGCACATACACAATGGATTCACACATATATATATATGTATTTCTACGCGTGTCTAGGAGGCACAAACAAATGACAACTAATTGCAATAGGGTTGAGACCCATTTGATCCTCAGGTTACTTTGCTCATTGAGCGAATCTGTGCTGACTACGACCGGACACCAGCACCTTTCAGGAAGGCTGTCAATTATCAGACAGGCTTGGGCAAGCATCAGCTCACAGGTGCATACCTGCACTTTGTCTCAGAGCTCCGCAAGATTCAGCCGTCGTCCCAATTCAAGGATGCAGAAGTGGCTTTGAAGGAACAGTTCCTCAGTGGATATCTCGATTGCGACCTCCAACATGCCCTAGACACAACGGTCCCGCCTTCAGACTTGAAGACTATCTCAGCTATGAGGCGCATGTGGCGCCATGAAGCCATTAACTTTGTAGATTCGCACTATCTTAATATCGATAGCCATAACAAAATAGTCCGTAAGTTTCGAGATAAATTCTTTGCGAAGGCCCTACGTCGCACAGATTGAGAACGCAGCTCGCGCTGATGCCTTGGCAAAGGAAGAGAGCTATGCGCAAGAAGTTCGCAAAGCAGATCTGCAGGTGCTGTTGCGCAAGCTCGACAATGACTTGGACATCCTCTCCAAGCGTTCCGGCACTGAACAGCAGAAAGCGATTGAGTGTGCGAAGGATATGAAATACCTGAAGGACCGGCAGGGGATTTTTGGCACCATTCAACAACATTTTGGCTCCAATTTACTATATATCGTTCATGGTCTGTGAGAAGAGATGAACTCTTTGCCCAATCCTGAATGGTTAGCAATAGACACCCTGCGTTGATGAACGGCCGACGATACTAACCGCAGCGCCTCATTTCTTTATATCGCGGGTGGATCCATGGCGTCTCCCCCAAAACATAGACTTGCAAAATGATATTGTTCTTCTTAGACGGCTGACGCTACCAATGATTGTATTTTGAGGTTCCAGCTGATTCCAGCTTGCTTTGTGCAAGATCCCCTCCCTAAACAACCTTGCAGTAGCACATCTTTGTCAGGAAAGGGCACAAGTTTGTGGACCAATTCTTAGAGCAGAATTGCTGCTTGATCCGTACGAGCAATGACTTTCACAACGCCATTGGCGATTTGCTCAAGTTCAAAGAGCAGTTTCGTGGAATCAGCGGCAAAGAGTAATCTGGAAAAGATTGAAGGATGGGATGTTTTGATGGACGGTTTTCAAGTCAAGGTTGACTCTCGTGATCTCATGATTGGACATGCCACATGCCTTCGTAATTGAATGACTATGGCTTTGAAGTTCCAAAATGTTCAAGACTGAATTGATTCAACAGGTCCCCCTGTATGGTCTTTTTTGTGGGCATCAACGCGCCTGGAGTCCACCAAAGGTACGTGATTTGCAGCTTGGATTGTACAGTATGGCCTGCCGATTCGGCGTATGTCAGCAACGCCTTGGCAACACTGTCATCAGTCTTGGCTTTGTCCGCATCCCATGTTGGGTTTGTGCAGATGCCTGTACTGCAATCCCAAACTTCGAGATCCGCGCTCTTGAAGCACAAGCACTTGCTCGAGAACAGCCTCTACAAGCATTCACTGACCACGCACCATACCGTCCAAATTCTCTACACGAAGCCGCCGGAGGCCACTTCGCGTGATCAACGTGGTCTTTCGCAGCTGGCCTTGGCCGTGTTCCACGAGCATTTTGAAGGATCCTCATTTGCTTCAGAGAGCCGCGCAGTGCGGGAAGGGAAACTCGGTCCCAACCCGTTGATCCCCTATTCCCAGTTCATGGGCTATGACAATGATACTGTGAAGCCTGGCGCCAGCGCACGGGTGGAGCAGATACCTGAAGGTATTTGAAACAACGCTTTAAGCTTTAGATGTCGTTGACACAGAGGTAGTATAATTAATATTGTATGGAGGACGCCCAAATCAGTCTTGCTTCAAGTTTTTCGCTCTCTGGTTTTATGCCTGTGTAGATGCGTCTGATTAAGGAAGGGCTTGCCTTGCCACATCTCGATGATCATGGGTTTGCTTGACGGCTTGAATGTTCAGAATGGTGACCGTGTGGTGTTTGTGGATGTCATCCCAAACAGGCTGGATCCGTTTTTTCTTCACAGCGCTGTGTGTGTGTGCATCGTGCTCATTGCTGTGCCGCGCACGCCTACCCATTTTTGATAGGACGCTGATTCATGTTTTGTGTCTGTACTTTTTCCCTCCCATCAGGTTTGCCGAGTTTGGACGTGCCTTGGTGGAATCAAGGCTGAAAGACGAACGAATCTTTTTGCGATATGTGGGCTTTCTCTTGGAAGAGCAATGCAATGAGAACATCGCTGCCATCCGTGACATGGTATACCGGCATTGGGATAACTCGCAGGATGCTCCCCCGAAGAAGCGTGTGTCGGACAACCAGGTTGCTGAGGCCCCAAGCTTGCAGATTTTGGCATGGCAGGATGGGCCCTTGTGGCCTGACATCCTGCTTTCTCGTTTTCCGGAAGGCACATGCGAGGCTGCGGAAATGTTGAAGCAGAAGGAAAAATTCGATGTGCTTTACCCTCCATCCTCTAGGCCTGCCCGGCCCCAAAGCCGCGACAGGGCCCACAGGGCCGGTGGATGTTGCGACTTTTCGGTTGACTCCGAAGCAAAGCCCATTGATTTGAGCCGGACGCTCACTCTGACTTTTGTCGAGGAAGCCGACTTTTCAGAAAGCAGGCTTGGTAATGGAAAAATACTCGGTTTAGACAACATGCTTTGTTGTTTATCTCATGGAGTTCATAGGTTTTTCAATATAATATAACAAGTTTTGCGCTCAAAGTCCAAAAATTTTGCTTCAGGTTGGGAATTGCCCCAGCTTTGCCTACCAAGAACAAACCAGCTGTTTTGATCTCCACCAGCATGTGTCTTTGGATCGGGAACACGACAGACAACCCAATGGCCGTGGAAGCTGGAGAGCTTTGCGGCTTTGGCACTGGATCTTTCGAGAAGAAAGTGATCAGCCACTTGGTGTTAGCTTACCCTATTTTCAACAGACTGTTAGGTTGGAGCTTGTAGTTTGCCTAACAAAGTGTTCCCATGAGGGATACCCTTGATGCCATGGGTGGTTTCTGATAGTTACATTCAAGATGCCTCTCACTGGATGAGGTGACCCAAAGCTGGAGAAGAATGCCCTGCCCTTTCGCTTACAAAGCGATTTGACTTTGGTGTCCTACCAGAAGGCAGCGATGCCGCTGTGCGAGATGCTTCGCACCCTGGCCTCCGAGGATGGCATTGCCCAGATCGACTTGGAGGACCATGAATTGGCAAGTCGTGTGCACCCTGTGCCTTGGTGATGTTAGTTAGACGACTCGAGGAGACCAAGAGCGCCATGAACAGAGGTACAAGCCGAATTAAAAGTAAAAACGTGGTTGTCGGGAAGTAGCGCCTCCAAGAAGCGTCTATTGGACCTTGGACAGTGGTGACAGTGACAGGTGGCGCAAGAGAGTTCTGGATGGTTTGCTGTAAAGTGTATTGTTTGTTGTGGGCCGGGCTTCGGCTGAGGCAGAGGATGGCGCTGATCCCATCCCTATCTCCTTCCGCTATGAGTTGAAGCCGAAGTCGACGAAGACAGCGAACGTCTTCAAACCCAACAGTCCATCGGTTCCGGCAAGCAAGGAAATCAGGAGTTCTATGCTTGGTGCTTGCTTTGCAGGCTCTTACGAGAAGCTTCTGCAGCAGAGTCAGAGCAAGTTTGCTTTGGTGTGGGAGGCTTGTGAATTTGCGTGAATTGGAATGTGTTTGAACGGTAAGTGGCATGGTCATCTGGATTTGAAATCAACAACGATATGTGTTGTGTTTGTTGCTTCTTGGCAACCTTGCAGGTGGCTTTCTCTAGCAGCCCGCCTCGAATCCAAGTCGAGAAGCCCAAAGTTCATTTGCTGGGCAAAGTTCATTTGCCTGCGCATTCCTGGGCAAATCTTTCTGCTTAGTTTTCCGGCCACGCCCTGCCAGCTCAGAATTTGAGAATGCGTTCGAGTGTTTTTCAATCAATCTTGGGAGGTAGCAGTTCCTCACCCCGAGCTGTTTTTATCAGAGTGTTGGCAGGGAGTCTAGACTGCACTGCCGCTGCGAAGCCATCAGAGGATTGGCTGGCCCAGTTGAATCAACGTTTTGTGCCCGAGCGCGCGGCAGTTGAGACACTGCGGCAGCACATTTTCCCATCCAGTCTTAGCAGAACGGACGGGTGGCTAATGCAGGCTTTTGTGCTGGCAGTTCAAATCACGTGAGACAACAATGCGAACCATAGTTTTGTTGCAGTCTACCGGCAAACGTTTCCAGTCTTGGTGGGACACGTTCACAACTAGAATGCGCCGGCTTGCAAGCGATAAGTGGCTTTATTGCAGGTTTTGACATTCAAAGCTGTAAGCCGTAGTAGGACTACAGGACTGGCTCCAATCCCTTGTGCGCGATGCCAGTTTTGAACACAATCGATAAGCTGAGTGATGAAGAGGACAGGTTTGGAATCCCTCTGAAGTTTTGAATTACCGATTTCTCATTTCCATCGACGTGTGTTGCTTTTGTCGTGTTGTTTCTTTGTTAAATCCCTGTAGCTGGGGCAAGGACTTGGGACCTCACGCTGAAGGGACACTTCTGCCGGTTCCAGCTGCACCTAAGGGGAAAGCCAAGTTGAAAGCGAAACCCAAGAGCGCACCGATCCCAGAACCGAAGGCAAAGGTGAAGGCAAAGGCGAACCAAGTGAAAAAGACTTTGCCAAAGAAAGCCGAGAAACAGAAACAGCCAACACCGGAACAGGTTGAGGCAACCGAGGAACCCACAGAAAGGAAAGAAAGTGACCAAAAACCGAAAGCGACTGTCATGAAACGCCCATCTGCTCTCCGGAACGCAATTGCGGCGCAGCGTTTCTTTGCAGCATTTGTGTGATGTGCTTTGCAAAACAGAAGTACAATCCATGTTGCTCGATCAGTGTTCAGAGTTCGTCTTTAAGCGATCAAGGACATGTTACCAATCCGTACTTGTACAAGCGCAAGGGAGTCTCCACCAAGATTTGGGGAATCAAGGTTGATGGCAAGGAAGCGCTGACTGCTGCTTGGTGTCGGTGTTCAAAGGTTGTAATGGTTGTTTCTCTTGGCGTTGCTTTGCCTGTCGGTTGCGGCGCAACCAAATACAACCAAGCGAGGTAGTTGGCTGCGTTAAAGGTTACCAAAAAGGTTTGTGTGTGTGCGTCACTGTTTTTGTGTTCCATGGCGATCTGCAAACCCATGATCCCATGGCATGGATAGCGTCAATATTCTGCGGCTATGTTGTGTGTGTGTGTTGGGGGGAGATTTCTGTCCGATACTTCAAAAAGAATTCGACCAGGCGCGCGTACAGTCTCAGAGGAACTGTTTGCGGGGCGCCGTAATGACATGCAGATCATCAGCCGTTTTTTCACCTACTACTATCAGTGAAGCTTTCCGGGCAGCCAGTAGCGGTAGCCTGTGTGATGTGTTTAGCAAATCCATTGCGCAAAGGTTGGCGGGAAGTACATCCCGGAAGAGAAATCCTTCGAGATAGCCACGGAGGCAGTCAAGCAACTTCGTGATGGCGAATCGATCGATGATGTCAAGTCAATGGTCGTGTTTTGGTTCAATGGTGAGACATTGCTTTCTCCCGGGTCCCTCTTTGAGCTGTGATTGTTTCAAAGACACATCGCAATGTTTAAAGGTTCATCATCATTATGTGTCAGTCAGCCAGCTAGTGGCACTTGAGGCTTCGATGCTGCGATTCTCTGACACCGCTGCTCCGTCTGAGCCCAGTGAGGCCGCGGCTGAGCCCAGTGAGGCCACAGCCGCTGCTGCCATTGAAGTTGCCGATTCCCAAATGGCGGAAGAAGCTGCTCTTCAGGATCCTGTGCCAGAAGCATCAATGGATGATGCAGTAGCAGATGGCGAAGAGGCAGAAGAAGAATGCCCTGCGACTGAGGATGCGCCGGTCGAAGACTAGCAATCCTCGGGTGAGCGACAACCTGCAGCTGGATGTGGTGTGAAAATACGTTGAGTGGCCACTGGTAGGGGGAGATTCTTATGAGGAGTGAAGGCTTCAAGCGGTTTTGTTGCAAGATGTGGTGAACAGTGGAGTGGTTTGAACTGATATTTTGCTAATTTTCCACCGCTTACCAAGTTTCAGAAAGTAGTTCAGCTGTAGCAATTGAAAACCCATCAAAAGTATGTCCATAGCCGTGGAAACGCTAAAAGATAACTTCAAGGAATCAAAGGTCAAGGAAGCGCAGGTCGCCAGAGTTTGCGAACTAGAGCCGTTTCATTGGGCAGAGTTTCCCAAGTTTCAATTGTTCTCGGGTAAGCCGGTAAACCCTTACTGTTACTGTAGAATGACAATAGACGTAGCTTTGTTATTATAAGTTATACAAATTTAGTTTCTATTTAAGGGGGCTGGACTCTCCTCGCGCTGTAGCTCAAGAGATATAAACAGCTTGGACTGCCGCAATACAAGGACACTTGAACGACTCTTGGCCAACAGATTGGACGGCTAGGTCCTTCTTTCAGTGGTAGCCTGGTAGCGGAGCTGGTGAACCGCTGTCATTGTTTTACTTCATGTTGCAGTTCCGCGGTGGGGTCGCCGAAAAACTATCCAACCGCTGGTTTGATTCGAAAAAGAATAGGTTGGCCACAGTGAAGACTCACAGCGTTGTGGTCCTTCCACCGGCAGTTTGAAACTAAACTATCTCATTTCCGGCCGGCCTCGGGTCACTCAAGCCAGAGCCCAAAAACATCACGCCAAGGAGTAATTCGGCTGTTACAGAAAGTGCAAAAAGTTGGGCGTTGGACGGGCGACCTGTAGTCTCATTGTGTCAAGTGGCCGAGCCTTCAGACTATAATTTTGCAGCACTTAGAGGGTTCTTTGCCATATGCCACAGGCAAGTTTATGCGCCTCAACTAAGACTATAATCTTACCCAGGCTGCTAATAACCCTGGCAGCTCATCATCTCTTTGAGACCCTGATTCACACTGAGACCCTGATTCAAATGAAATTTTTTTCTGGTGGGTCTGGAAATTTCTGTTCCAAAATCGCTGGCAGATTACTGAACATATCAATGGGCTTGAAATGAGGCAAATTTACAACACACTTCTTTGGCTTTTACGGGACCGCCAACACTTCGGCCTGCGTTGGGTACACCTGTCTGACTCTTATGTCGCTATTAGCATCCTGTCTAAGGGTCGCACCTCATCCCAGCGCCTCGAACCACTCGTCCGGAAGTGCAACGCGGTTTTCCTCTTGGGTCAGATTTACCCGGTGTTGTTACATGTAGCTTCATTAGATAACCCCACAGATGAAGGCTCGAGATCTTTCACCGAAGGAGCACTGGCGACGGGTTCGCCGCCGGCGACGGGCTGGCCTGTCGCTCCATGATGCGGGGATCACCAGCAAAACCCGTGCGCGTTACTACGCGGGGTTGAGACAAATTCTGCACATAGTTCAGGTCGTTTGTTCTTGGGAAAGTCTTGACGAACAGCTTGCAGACTGGGTCGACTCACGGTGGCGCTTGGGAGAGTCGCTCGGCAGCGTCTCCGACGCAATTTGCGGTCTGTCATTCCATCTGCCTCTCGCGCGTACACGCATCCCTGAAGCGTGGCGCCTTTTCCGCACTTGGCGGCGGGTCGAGAAACCTGACCGCGCGCCGCCCCTGCCTTCCTTTGTTCTATGGGGCCTTGTGGGTTTCTCCATATACAGAGATTGGCCACGGATGGCAGCGCTTCTAGCACTTGGATTTCACACTATGCTTCACACGGGCGAACTGCTCAAAGTTTCGCCTTCTGACATTCTTCTGCAGGGGCGCCATGGAGTCCTTCGACTACGTGACACCAAGACCGCTTCAAATTACGATGAAATGGTCCAAATACACGACAGTCGAGTGCTGGAAATCCTTTATACTGTGCTTCCTATGATCCCAAAGAAGGATCATGATCGACCTATCTGGAACCGCACGGATCAAGCCTTCCGAGAGGCCCTCGACTGCTTGTTTACCCACTTTAACCTCGAAAGCTTCCGATTTAGGGGATATTCCATTCGCCGGGGCGGTGCCTCGTTTGACTTCGACACATACCACAACATGGAGCGCACTCTCTTGCGTGGACGATGGCAAAGCAGTAGAGTCGCAAAAATCTACATCACCGATGCCCTAGCGCGCTTAACTCAAATGCGGCTATCGCAGACACAGATGCTGCGGCTACAGCGCTTTGCCGCCATGTGCGGCGTGTCTGGTCCGTGATGTTTCTCCTTCTCGCCCCTTTAACGGGCAAGTTGGCACACGGAGTGTGCCAAGGGAGCGTGGAAAGCAGAGCTTGTTTTGTCTTGAAATTTCAATTTCCTCAGGTCAAATGCTTTCA